TGAGCGACCAAAGGTTCAGAGCCATGGTCATGAACACATCTCCCTGGAGGTCACTAGGAGACCTGGGAGTGGAGATGGTTACACAGCAGATATATGCCAAGAGTGCTAATATCTAGGTCTCTTCCAGAATGGATTTATTTCACTGTGTAAAACAATACTTTACGTTTTTTAAATGATTGTTTCTCCCTTATCCACAATTTAGGGAAGATCAAAGCAAGTCTATGTGGTTATTTCATTCTTAGGAATGATTTCTACTCAAAGTTTCCCAACACCAGCTTTGAAAGCTTATGTCGAAGTCATTTTCATGTGATTTTTATAATTTACACATTTACATTAATTAGTAAAAATGAGCTAAATATTTTAAAAAGTTTATTTCACTTAAGTGGTTATAGAATTACTTATCTGTGCACATAAGTGTGTGAATGTATGCACAGGTGTGTTTGAGTGATGCCAGGTGCTATCTATTTGGTCCATTCATTAATAAATTATTCCTATTTTATATTTGAATGGGACAGTAAAAATAAAAACAAAAGGAAGTCAGCTCAAACCTGTTTTTAGGACTTTATAAGCATCATCATGGATCAATAATAAGAAGACATTAGAACAACCTTTCTAATTTCTTACAGTGAATGAAACATTGTTTTGCAAGGAAAGTAAAGCGTGTCTTATTTTTTTATAGCTAAATTGTTTGAAATCTGTTTGTTTCCATCATTCTTCAAACAATCTGATGTCATCCTCTGTAACATCACTGGGTCAAGAATTGCCAACTCCCCCAGCTTCCTTTGTATTTACTCTCTGTTTTCACATTGCCAATCTGTAAAGTGAGATGGAGGAAGAATTGTTTTTGCAATTACCATCAAGATGAATTTATACAAGAATGAAAAATATGCAAAACAGAGCTGTATTAAGATAAAGAACTGATAAAAGAGTAACATTCACAGAGCTATAGATGCCTAAGCGATTAAGAGAACTTCAAAACTTCAAAGACGTCTCTGCTTTTGCTCCTGCCACTGATACAGAATTACAATGCATCTGTGACTTCTCACCGAACATCTGATGCCCTTTGATTGTGCCCACCTGCATTAGCCACACATGTGCTGCACACAAATACACCCTACATGTTGGCAAACTCTCAAACAAAGAAAAATAAATAAATAAATAAATAAACCTTACAAAAGGGTAACACAAAAATGAGTATAAATTTTTCTGAACCAGTAATGGTGTCAGTAATATACTAAAGGAATGCCTTTTAAACGAATATTTGAGAAATTATCTGTTTAGTCATACTAGTCAAAACAACCCTTCCTTAAAACACCTGTTTCTAGTACTACTCATTTTAATGAAATCATTAACAACCAGTGCTACCATTATCTATGAATCAGTAGAGCTATTAATATTTTTTGCTTGCATTCTTCATGACTCAACACACTAGAGACTTTTAATTACATTTCTTAATAGTTGTCTCAATCATGAGATAAGAAAAATGTAAGGAGAACAGAGACAATTTAGAAGTAGAGTGTGGAAAAGCTCAAAAACCATGAGCATATAATATGGTTCTACTCAGAGAACTACATTCAGATTATTGGCTACAAGAGAGATAAAAAGTTGATTATACACAGAAAGATGAAGTATGAAAAAAAGCACGTAATTGAGGGAATGTTGTGTTCCATCCAAGAAGCTGTGATTTTGTATGTTGGATCCACTTGGAATTTGATTCACTCAGAGTCAGCGAAAGAGCACATAAGTCAAGTGCAGAGTCCTTTCCATTCTGGGTATTTTATAGGAACCCCTGCACCTCTGTTCCATTTATTTTCACTCCTTCCAGTGAGAGATATAGCCTCTAGGTTTGGGTAAATGATAAGATCTCACTTCTTAGAACCATTTGCCTTGAATCACTGCAGCTCTGTTTCATAAATTTCTACCTACATCCACAGTAGTGGGGTTAGTGGAGTCTTCATACTGAACACTGGTCCTGGATTCACAGAAGCAGACCCTGAATTCTTGCTGTTAGTTACTAGCTGACCTGATTAATTCAGTGAATGATTTCATACTGGTGTTATTTGTCTTTGAATTAAAGTTAATAACATTTATTTCTTGAAAATGGATGAAAGTATTAAAAAAGAACAGCATAAAAACATTGAACACTATTCTTGATGAAAAAAAGAAAAATCAAGCATGTTAATGGCTTATAATTCTTTAACTAAAACAGATGGTAGCACTCATAAAGTTCAATTTCATTGATACCTTTACAAGGGGAGCTCCAGTATTTGGGCTTAAGAGGCCTCTGAGTCAGAAAGACTTGTCTGATGTACTTAACATAGTTACCCTCTCATTTTCTTATAGTCTGAACTAGTTTATCAAATCTGAGAGATTTTTTCCATACAAAGTGATACACTGTAGCCCTTTATAGTCTTTTTATGTTGCTTTCTTTTTAGGAAATAATCTTTATTATTGCAAATGATATGTCTATTTATGTGTATGTGAGTGGTCATGTACCCCTGAATGCACATATCCACTAATGCCAGAATCATTGGATGCCCTTAGAGTTGGATTTAGAGGTGATTGTGAGGTACTGGGTAGTAGATTCTCTGGAGGAGCAGCATACACTCTTAATGGTTAGCCATCTCTCTAGTCCTGTTTGTTTTAAGTATTCCTCACTACCCATCTCCAGCTGAATAAAATGTATACTCCTTGATAGAAGGAACTTATTGTTTTGCCTAAAAGAAAAAGAACTACCTTGTACAATATGTTCTTATGAACTTTCCCCTGATCATTACTGACATATGAGCCTTGTAAAAAATCGGGCTTTGTGTCAATTATATAAGCCAAGTCGATATTTTAATGTAGTTATTTCTGTGCAAACCTCTAATGTTGGCCAAATCTATGTTGGTGTTCAGCAAGTACATTTTCATGCTTTAGTGCAATATTTCCAAAATGGAATTATAATTATAACACTTCTTTAAAAATTATCAATGTGTTTAGTATAAACTAGTTACTGATTTAAAGGAAATATTAATATTTAAAAGGTTCAAAATGTTCAAATGGTAAAATTTGGTCTTGTCAGAATTAGAACCAATTTGTGTACAAACTTAATCATGTGTTTCAGTTTCAATTAAAAAAACTCAGTGCTGTACTAGTGTGCTGCCTATGCTAAAGTAAGTCCTGCATTTATTAACTCTCTGCCACTAATACTGCTACTAATTCCAATTTATAGGTATTTATCATTAGCCTTCAACTGCAAGTTTTATTTATATTGTGTGCTATTTTGATAAATGGTCTCCATCTGTAGACAAGGCTAGGCTTGAACTAGTCATTCTCTTCCTTTTTAGCCTCCCAAAGGCTGTGATTATACTCAGTCAACATGACACGGCTCAACTCTCAGTTTTAATTTAAGACTTTCTTTCATCATTCACCCATCTAGTCTGCATTGGATTATAGAGTAGCATAAACTTTTAACCTGGTTTACATTATAATAATGATCATTTTCTGCAATTTGGTTTTTTTATGTCTCTGTTACACTTTGAACATGAAGAAAAATATTCTTTCACAATACCTGTTCCTCAGAACAACACACTATGTTTGTCATGAAACAGGCTTTCATAAACTACTCTTTAAATGGATGTTTTGGTCTGTAGGTGAAATGACACCCAAAAGCTCATTTGTCTGAAGACTTGGCTTTTGGCTGTTTGGCAAGAAGCTTTTGGGTTTAGAGCCTTGCTGTAGGAAGTGAGCCTTTGTCCTATCCACTCTCTGCTACCTGACTCTTGTTGCAATGTGACCAGCTCTCCTGCACTTGCTGCCATGCCATCCTTTCCACAAGGGGATGACAACTTAGAACTCTAAGGCAGAACAGACCCTTCCTCCCTTAACTTGCTCCCTTAAGTTGCTCATTGTCTTAATGACATTATAATTGTTCTCATTAAATCAAATTTGTACAACAACAAATAACTTATTTTACAAAGATAAGATGGAAAATGATGAGGGAAAAGAGAATAAAAAGAGTTCAAGGGTGTAGGTGGAAATATTTGAGTATATTGGAAAAAATGAATAAGATTATAGATAGATCAGAAAAGGAAAACAGAAGGGTGAGGGGAAGAGGAGCAGACTTTTCAAACATTATTTTTCCTCAGATAATTTTATTTCCAAACCTAAAAAATAAGAGTTTATCACTGCTCATTATTTATTTAGTAGCTTGTATGATCAAATTTTCAACACATAACAGTTTCATTTTCATTCCAGTTATCTTGATCTCAGATTTGAACATCTAACTTAAAATACACAAATTTTATTTTCCTTCTATCTCACATTTTCATTTTTATTTACATTGTTACTTTAGTCCAAATTATTCATGGCACCTATCATCTATGTATTTTATAAATTGAACTTCATGTCTTATTCCTTTTACTCAGTTTTCTTACTTTTTATTCAGCCATGATGTTTTTGTATCAAGAACATTTTTTCATCTTGGGATTTTTATGACTCTGCCTGTATTTAACTTATTGCTGCACACATTTTGTATGAAACCAAATGTCTTAACTCATAATGTGTTAAGGCAACTCTCAGTAAAGCAAGTTGAGTAGGTTTTCTTTAGCACAACAAACATTGTCAAAGATAAATGCTATTCTATTAGAAGTAAGTTAAAAATACTTGTTAGCATTTTATAGAAGCATCCTTAAATCCTCAGAGAAGATAAAAAGATTGTGATTACTGTCAGAAAGTATAGCATTTCTTATGAAGAAAACCATCAAGTAAACAGCTTTAAAATACTATAATAAAAACTATTCAAATAATGCAAAATGGATGAACACAGTAATGAAGGCACAGTCAATGCCACCATACTTTAATAAATGTTATTGAAGACTCTTTTTTACAAATGGTACTTTGTTTAGTTGTGTACCTGAAGATAGAGGTAAAACAAACATTCTTAGACATGAAGTGCATTAACTTGCCTACAGGACAAAAAGCTGAGGTAACTAAGGGCTAGAAAACCGAGGTCTTACCATCTAGGTCATTCTCTGGGGTCTCTGCTGTGTACCAGTTGGAAGGTGGTCCAGTGCCATTAACAGTCATGGCCGACACTTGGAAACTGTACTGACTCCCTTTCTCCAATCCTATGAAAGAATTTTCACCAGAAAAAAAAACTGTTACTAAACAATAAGAATTTCCAGCTGAGTTTCCAAAGCTTTAGAAATTTTATGACAATAATTGGCATGTTTTAAATATTCCAATTGTTTTGGATATTATTGTTTTTGATTATATGAGGGGAAAAGCATAGCAGGCATTGAAATTATATTTCATAAATTATAAATTCTTGTGTATATTTCCAGTTTATAGAAATGTATCATTGAACACAGCCTCAGGGTAGATGCAGAATATAAAATATGAATGATGAAGAAATAATCAAAAATAGCAAGAATCATTTTCCTCACTGTTCTGAGGAGTTCTGCCTATAAATCAAGAACTGTCAGCTTAAAAATTTATGCTCCCATCATTCATTCAAGGTCAGTGATGATGTTTACATTGGGCCAAGAAAGAAGAATCCAAAGTAACTGAATTTCAACAGAAAATAAACACAGCTTTCATTTTTTGAAACCACCCTTCCAGTATATTTTACTTTGAATCAGATTCCACAGTAGAGAGAACTGAGGTGAATCTCAACAGTATTTCGGATGCATTATATTACCCACAGAGATTATTATAGAATTTACAGGCAGAGTAAGGAGGCCTCATACATTATCAGTATTATGGTTTTAAGTTTTTAATCTAAAAGCCTTTTCTTTTCCACAAGTCTTGATAATTTGTTGTAAAACAAATAATTCCTATTGCTCTGGGTTTGTTGTTTGCTCCAAAACTCATGTTGAACTTTAATGATCAATTTTTACAGTTAGAAAGGGTCAAAAAACATGTGATTAAACCCTGAAACATTTGTCATCATCTATGAATTAATGTTGTTGTGGCATAGGTTACATCAGGAATGAGGTCATGATACAAAGGATGAGTTTGGCCAGATATTCTTTTTATCCATTTGCTCGCACTTCCGTAGTCCTTTTTAAGGTGACTGTTACCATATACTGGTGCTATGTATCTTCAGAATGATACATCAAAATATCTAAAGTTATTTATCAACTAACAAGTTTGTGCAATTCCATTGTAACAGTAGAGCTGCATAAAATACATTCTATGTGAAACCCAGTTGCTACGAGTCAGTATCTTTAAAGAAACATGCATCATTAAGACATTAAGAACCTAATGTAAATTACCCAGCCTTTAGGTCTCAGTTACTTGCAGTACAAAGATTACAATGTTGCCTCATTCTTTTACCTATTTTCTCTTTAACAGAATAACAGAAATATACTCTTCCAAGTTATGCAGAAATTTATCCACAGTTTTACTATAAATGATTACACCAGGGTATCAACCATGTGCACAACAACTGCTCTAAAAGGCCATCTATGATAATCTGCCTTCTGTGCCAACTGGGATGGGTTTGGGGGCTCCAGTTATAAAACTAATCAAATGTTGCAAGATACACATCTTGTGATGGTGCTTCAGTGCAAATGTAGTCTTATGATATGAATACTATTTAACAATAGCATCAGAAGAGGTTTTCATATCACACCTTTGGATTTCTTTGAAGCAGAAATTCTAGCCTTGGTTCTCAACTTTGGCTTGAACCTTTGTTATAATGACCGCAAGCCACTCTTTTAGCTCATGAAAAAGATGGACTACTTACTTATTTTTATAAGAAGATTTAAATCTTGAAAAATATTTGATACTACTGGGCACACAAATTATTTCATGTTTTTCAGAGTTCACTGATACTTTGACTTCATAATTTTTCCTTTTATTGAAAATATTTTTCTCAAAAATACATCCTGATTATACTTCTTCTACTTCTCCAAGTTTCACCTCAATCTATCCTCCCATTAAGATCCATCCTTCCTGACTTACATTGGGAAACAGGTTTCTAAGAGATAATGAGCAAGTTAAAAAATACAACTCTTCATGTTCTTTCTTAACCTGGTTTTGCCTTAACTTCATGAAATGTCATTTTATAACATGAATTAAGAGCATGAACAGAGTTATTTTTAGAAAATCTGAATTATATTTTGTTCATTCATTTGACTTTGAATCCAGTGATTAAATATCTTTTAACCACTTATCCAATCTTTGCTTTATATATTTAACGTTCCAAGTCTATCTGAGTCACTAAGTTTTGAGTAAAACAACAACAGATAACACTTTGGAGACACTCTCACCATCTATAGTTATCTCTGAGATGAAAGGCCAACCAGAATACCTTTTTTGGAGATTTCCAGGCAAGTGACAGACAGTGTCTCATGTCTCAGAAAACTTGGATATGTGGCACATGAGGAATAGCACCTACAGTTGTACACATACTTGCATAGGTAACCGCACACACTCATGTCTAAGCCGAACACACACACACACACACACACACACACACACACATACACACAGAGTTATTGTTTTTATGTTTGCAATTTTTTATCTATAATAGGCATAAACTGCTGGATATCTCTCAGTACAACTGTCTAGATATGCCTGTTTAAATATACATTACATATTACATATTAATATTAATTTAATATACATAAATTTGTATCTTTACTTAAAGTTAAAGGAAAGCTAGTTCTATGTAAAAGTTACTCCTGTGTTTATATTTCTATAGGATTTATAAGTTATTTGCGAAAAATTTGGTTTAATCAATTCTAGTCATCCAGGTCCATGAGCTGGAAAACTAATCTTTACTACTTTCCACACACCAGATATCTCTGCCTATCACCCATCCTTCTTTCTATCCCCATCACTCTGCCTATCCCCCATCCTCTGTCTATCAACCATCCCTCTGCATATCCCCATCCTTCTGTGTATCCACATCCTTCTGTTTATCCCTCATCCTTATGCCTATCCTCCATTCTTCTATCTATTCCCCCATCCTTCTGTCTATCCCATTCCTTCTGTCTAGTCTATCCCCATCCTTCTGCATATCACCCATCCCTCTGCATACCTCCATCCCCCTGTACATCCCCCATCCTTCTGCCTACTCCTATCTTCATCTGGGCTCACACAATCACATTATCATCACCTCAGTAAGACATTGTTTAATGATTATTTAAAAGTTCAGATCATATGACTTGCAGCAGAATTAGTTTTGAATTTTTCCTTCAGCATGCAGCCATATGATGCTGCAAACCATGCTAGGCCTCCCTTTATATATCTATATTTTCTCATCAAGAAAGTGGAAATGGCCAAAGTATAAATTGTTATAAAGATTAAATCTGAAAGCATAAGATTATTAGCATAGATCTTATTGACAAATTTCCTAAATGATGGTGGTTGTTATTCTAATGAATGACAAATAGTCTATTTAGTAGCACTGATCTTTCCTAGAATAATATAATTAATTGAGATACACAGAGGCACACCAAAGATGACAAGATGGAGTCTATAATGGGAAAAAAACCTAGGAGACAGAACATCAGCAGTACAGTATGTGTTATTTCCTCCACTGGTGGTAGATCTCCCATGTGATAGTTATCTCTAATAAGAAAGCATGAATGCCATGCATCATGTGAGTTCTTCAATGTTTGGTGAAATTCTAAATCACATGTCTCTGAGTCTGTGTATGAAGCCAAATGCATTTAAGTATAAAACCATTCTAAAATGATGTGTATCTATCTTTAGTCATAAAATTCTATCATTAAAAAAGATTACCCTGCCTATTGTTACTCTTCAGACTGAGAATCGTTAACCACTGCAATTTCTTTCGTATATTTCTAATTTTATACACTATATGGTAAAATAAAGGTACACTATACTAAAGCATCATGCTTTGCCTCATGTTGGCCTTGTTATAAAATTGCTATGCTGCTTCCAGTGTTTAGCCCATAAAATACCAATGCATATTTATCATTATCTTTATTCTATATTGGCCATGAAACGCGAGAAAACTCTTCAATTCAACTCCAAACAACCTTTCCCGAAGACCACTCAGAAATTAAATACATCATTTAAAATTTAGTTTCTATGGCTTTCCACAACAGTACCCATTCCTGCAAATTAAAGTCATTGTTAGAAGTATGAATTACTTTGTTATTGCAGATGTCCCATTATCATAGCAAAAAAAATATAAAACAAAACACCTGTCTAACAAATAGAGGATTGTAAAAAGAAAAAAGGTGCATTTCTACCCTTCAATTATATCATACAAAAAGAAAACATTAAAGCATTTCCAATTTTCTCACATCTAAATCAATACAGCCACACATGTTGCAAGCACTAAAAACATGGGGTCAAATCCTGCACATTTTATAACACTGTGGATTTATATTGAAAATCAATGACTCTACTTAGTAACTATAAAGAATACCAGTTCCTAGATACATTATAGGGGAAAGCCTAAATCACAGTATTTCTCCAAGTGTGCAGTCCTCCTTGCTCTTTATGGCTTTTGAAACCATGATCAAATCGTCTAGAAATATAACAGGTGTTCCCGAGTACAAGTCATGAGGCAGGTAAGAGAGAATCAGAAACTGTGTCAAATTTGATTTACTGATTTCTGTCATTGCTTCAGTTCAACCAAAAAGAAGGATGCCTGACATTCTGGAGGTTAATATCAGATGTAGTTACAAAGATGTAATGGTGGGAATAGAAGCTACAATTTTGAATTCAGATACCTTTGAGCCCTAAAAGAAGCAAATTGACAGTTAAAAGCCATTCCCAATAATAAGTTAATTAATTCTTGTCCCGGAATAATAGTGGAATAATAAGCTGGACTAATAATAGGTTACTCCATGATGATTAGATGCTCATGTCATCTTATAGAGTTCTGAGAAATAAAACTGTAGAGCTGAATTATTTATCTCTGAATGAGCAAATTTTACTGGAGGATGCAATTTAAAATGATTGTGCTTGAGAGGAAAAATGACATAGATCTGTATTGGTGTGAATAGTGTCTTTCCCAAGTTTGTATGTAAGGGGAATATTAGCATCAAACCACACTTGCAAATAGCTCCTTATGGACATAATCAGTGAAAGAGCTCAAGATGAAATAATTCTGGATTGAAGGTGAGTACAATGCAAATGC